GATTCTTTATTCAAAATACATATATAGTTAATATAAATATAATGCATGATCCTTATTGAGGCCCAAATTGAGTAAAACAAATTATGTCTTTAGAAAATTTTCGTAAACGGCTGATGAACAAGAGGGCCGGGAGACGGTTTTCTGTATCTCTTCGTTTTGTCTCCGTCTTCTGTAAAATAATTCGAAAATGGTATAAACTTAATTTCTTACCAAAAAAAAAAGGAGAGGAGAAATTTTGGTTTTTGTTTGGACAAAGAAGAAGAGCACGTGAATTTGTTTTATTGCGGCCATTGTGGGCCTTGGACTATATGTCTTAATTAGACAGTTTATTAGTTTTTTTACTACTAATTTGCGTTCCTTTTTTAAATTTATTCCGATCGATGCTATTTCTTTTTTTTTTTTGATGAAGGTTTTAGAAAGCACAGGCCCATGATTAGTTAGAGCCGGCCATATAGTTAACATTATTTCTTTGTGACATGGTAAAATTAGATGTGTAAAGTGTTAAGAATCCCACATATATCAGAAATAATTACTAATACTAGTATATAAAATATGAGTTGATATACTCATTACTAAATGGTTAATTTGTGTTGGAAACTCATGAATATTCACAATAGGATTAAAAACATAAATGGAGTAACGGTCCAAAGTTGACAACAATGAACATTAATTTCTATATTGTTATTTTGCTTAGGTGGATGAGGAAACAGGTTACGTCCCCGTGATATGCGCCATCGCACGAAGCAAACATAGAGACATTGAGGCGGCTTGGGAAGCGGTAAAGTACGCGAAGAGGCCAAGGATACTCATATTCACATCTACTAGTGACATTCACATGAAATATAAGTTGAAAAAGACTAAAGAAGAAGTGATTGAGATGGCCGTGAGTAGTATCAGGCTCGCTAAAAGCTTGGGCTTCAATGACATCCAACTCGGGTGCGAAGATGGCGGCAGGTCCAAATCTTAAAACCTTTATATATCTCGATTATCTTTTTTGCGTTCGTTTGGTTTTACGTTGAGTCTGTATTAACAAACTATTATTTAACATTTTACCATTTTCTTATTTGATAAATAAGCTTTTGTTTGCGTTGACGTTTGGGCTTATATTTGGCAAGAATAAATTCATAAACAAAATCGTTAAATGTTCTGCTTTTCCAATTAAACGTCTGAAGAAATCTAGATCATAATAGAAAAAAAAGCATTTTTAGCCATTACTAGATATATGTTATGGATTTTGTGCGACTTGTGACATTTAAATATTTGATCATGTCATTTACTGATTTTAAAATACTTGTGTGAATTAGGTCGGACAAGGAGTTCCTATGCAAGATTCTAGGAGAAGCAATAAAAGCGGGTGTTACGGTGGTGAACGTCGCAGACACGGTAGGGATCAACATGCCACATGAATATGGAGAACTCGTAACCTATCTCAAAGCAAACACTCCTGGAATTGATGATATCGTCTTCAGTGTTCATTGTCACAACGACCTTGGTCTTGCTACCGCCAACTCAATCGCCGTACGGAACTAACTCTCATTTTTGTGTGTGTTAGATATATTTTAATTTATTTACTAATATATATTCTCAATGTGAAAAATATATAAACATATAAAACAATGAGTTTACATGATATGTATAGGGTATACGTGCGGGAGCAAGACAAGTGGAAGTAACGATCAACGGAATCGGTGAAAGAAGTGGGAATGCGTCCCTTGAAGAGGTATCATCATCAATTCTTCATCACTCTTATTATCATAATCTAATCACTACCATGATCATCATCATCATCATCATCATCATCATCATTATCAAAATGACCATTTATGTGGTATATATGTAGGTCGTGATGGCTTTGAAATGTCGAGGAGCATATGTGATCAATGGTGTTTACACAAGAATAGACACACGCCAAATTATGGCTACAAGCAAGATGGTAACATTCTTTATACACATGCCATATATATAATGATGCTAGTTATTATGGCCATCATAGTAATTAATTAAAAAAATATATATGTAAATTCTTGAGCAGGTTCAAGAGTACACCGGCTTGTATGTTCAACCACATAAGCCCATAGTTGGAACCAACTGTTTTGTTCATGAGAGCGGCATTCACCAGGTTCCGTATATGCATATATATATGACATAATAAAAATAAATAGAGATTGATTTGATTAACATGATGATTGTTCCAATATTTTTTAGGATGGAATATTGAAAAATCGGAGTACATATGAGATCTTATCACCAGAAGATATTGGGGTCGTAAAATCTCAAAACTCCGGCCTTGTTCTTGGAAAGCTTAGGTAAATTTTCTATTAAGTGATATTTTTTTTGTTTTCATGACTAAAACTATGAACCATTGCTTTTTTTTTTTTTTTTTTTTTAAGAACCATTGTTTTATTTGTTGAATTTATTCATTTGAACAACAATGGAAATGTGCAGTGGACGTCATGCTGTGAAAGATCGGCTGAACGAGGTATTTCTTGTGATTTCGTAATATCATTAATCTTTGGTTATATTATTATCATATATGGGATACAGTTAACACTTTTTAAAGAAGTATTAATAAATCATACTTACGTACGTTTTTACTTTTCTATTCTCAGTTGGGATATGAACTCGATGATGAGAAACTGAACGATGTCTTCTCACGGTTCAGAGATTTAACCAAGCATAAAAAGGTTTTCAATTTCTATTTTGTATCTTCTCCTGCACATGCATTATGGACTTATGGTTTAACGTACAAATTTCACCATATACGTATGAGATAAGAATCCAAAATACAAATTTATTTTAAAATTATAGAAAACACAAAATCTCACTCTTATTATTATTATTTTTTAATCTCACACTTAATTGATTTCAATTTGTTAAAATTTTCAGAGGATCACGGATGCTGATATGAAGGCGTTAGTAACATCCAGCGATGAAATCTCTTTAGAGAAATTAAACAGCGCTAACGGTTTAAAGTCTAACGGCTATGTACCAGTTCCTCAGGTTTCATCAAATATGCTATAAATGTGTGAACACGTGCGTTTGTATGTTTGTGTACCATGGTAATATCAAGTTCCATTTGATAATGCCATGTCACATGTGTTGTTGTAATGAATAAAAACAGTATTAAATAAGAGGAACTGCTTTTTTTTCTTCTTCTTAATATATAAATTTTTATAAATGCAAAGAATATTAAAAGCTTGTGGTTTGATAATAGTCTCACGGTCTCAGCAGTCTCAATAGTATATGAAAAATATTTTCACATAACTCATAACTCGTATTGCCTCTGTTTCAAATGAGATATTGTTTAAACATTTATGTATTAAGTATTAAAATAAGCGTTCAGCATTTCAATATCAATTTTAGCATATAATACATACCCTCGCTCCAACTATATAGTAACAACTACCAACACTGAAAGTGTTTTTTTTTTTTTTTTAATTAGTTACTTAGCCACTTACTAATTATCACTCATGTATTAAAATTAAAGTTGTGGATAGCGATTAGATAAAGTGAACAGTGTTATGCACAAGTAAAATTAAGCAAAAGCCACCTACGTACCAACCTGGAGGTGCAAAACAACCCTTCTGCCGAACTGGAGTTGCAAGTATCCACGTGCTCTCTTTGCTCTCTTTTTAATTACAGTTTTTAAAATTAGAAATACGACAAAGATATATATGAAGATCTGGCGTTCTCATAAAATAGATGAATATAATATTCGAATATAGCACACCAAAATAATCAGATTCCCTTAGACCATATGCAAGGGGGAACTTTTGAGTGTGTTCTTAGGATTTAAAAATAGGAAATAAGGTGAACAGTGGTAGAACAGTTCTAACTTAGACCATATACAAAGGGGAAACTTTTGAGTGTGTTTTTAGGATTTAAAAATAGGAAATAAGGTGAACAGTGGTAGAACAGTTCTAACTTATCCTGCAAACTGTCTTCAGGAAGAACATTTTTTATAATTTTAAGAACAGTTGTATCCACTATTCAACATTTTTAGTATTTTAAAACCCTTAAAAACACACCAAGTGTTCTCCTTTGCATGTGCCCTTATGGAAGTATCAATAATGATTTTAAGTTACGTGAGGGAAAAAATGAACCTAATAACTTTTGGAGTTTTTTTGGTCAACTACTTTTGGAGATTTTAAACTAAGAAATGGTAGTGACGAAATCATGATGTTCAGTGAGATAGCTATATAAGGGCATTTTGTTCAAAAAAAAAAAGCTATATATTTTTGAAAATAATTTACGATTAAAAAGGTTTCAATATGAGTTATTTCAGAATATATGATATCATCTGGAAAATAAATTTTAGTTAATATTGTCTGAGTGAAAACAAAACACGAATAAAACATTTGAGTTTTGTAGAATAACACCACCATCGGATAAAAATCAAATATATGGACTGAAAGTGAATATAAGAACTGTTAGAATGTTACAATTAATTCTCTACTGATCAAATTTTTCATAATTAAGGGCGTTTGAGATATACTAAATTTTGAATCACTACAAGAAAAATCCACATTCTTATCACGAGAGAAACGCTATGTTTTGTCATTAATAGCGTTTTCATAAACGCTATCTTATGCCCCTGTTATCGTAAGTACCCCACATAAGATAGCGTTAGATACAGATGCTATGTTAAAGAATTATATTATAGCAGTAGGGAAACGCTGTGTGTTCAAGCGTATTTATTTGTTTGAAAGTTTGCAATTACTCATTATCCATGCTATGATAGGGGTCTCTACGATAGCTATATTAAAACGGTTTAGTTTATGTTTTTATAAGAAATATTTATGCTATGAGATATTATCTTATAGCGTTTATATATAAGATAAAAAATTAGTAATTACTCATATATTGCGCTACAGTAGATGACTCTAACATAGCATTTTTTAAATCTTACATTTTAAAAACCAATATATTTCGTAGCAGGTTTTTAAATGCTATTATATTTGTTTTCATGTCACTGATTTCTTTTTTTTATGACACACCTGTTTTAAAATCCCCAAATACATCATTAATAACTTCAAATCCAAGATACAATTCACAAGACATGTTTCACATAACAAGCTAACAAGTTTTCCAAAGATCCTGTCAATGATCTCCTTAAGATCCAAAACCAACCAACTAAAAGTCTGAAAATAAGTGTTCCAAAGAAGTTTCACAAACCAAACCTCAGGCCATGATCACTTTGTCCTCAGGCCATGCAATAACTGTCCCAAGGGCATCTTCCATAATCTCTATTTCATCTGATTTCCTCCAAACTTCTGCATCGCTAACTTTGACGATATCTACCCACACTTTAACAGCATTAGTACCCAAAGGAACAAAGTGAACCTTCTGGTTTGGATCATTTGTTGCCCATCGTCCTTCAGCAACTACTCGACTCTTTCCGGTAATGTCCATCAACTTGCATCTCTTATTCTCCTTTGAACCATTTTGCATGATACGCTGCCATGTTTACAACATAAAACAAAAGGTTAGAAGATTGACAGAAGTAATCAGACCAAAATAAAATAGAAATACCTGTGATTTCCGGATAGGAGACTGTGAATCTGGTATAGTTTTCCTTACTGGAGAGCTTGGGCGTGTTTCAGTCTCAATAGGAGATTCAGAACCTGATCCTGAAGATTTAGAGGCATTAGACGCTGGTTTATTACTTGTCTCCGCAGATTTTGTCCCAACTGCAGATTTAGATCCTGAAGGTATATCAGTTGATGCAGAATGCTGTCTAGGAGACTGAGTCTCAAAGCTAACTTTATTGACAGGCCATGAAACAAAAGCCATCAAACAGTCCTCAAGGTATGCCATATCAATTGTAGGCCTCCATATGAATGTTTCTGGTTGAAGCACTGAATCCACAAATACTTTTACTGCCTTTGGTCCAAGAGGTAGTCCATTAACCAATGCAGTTTCTTCTTGTGTCTGCCAACGACCCTCAGCAACAATCACATCATCATCAGACAAATCCAGCAGTTTACATTTATTCATAGAGTTTGCTCTTAGGCCCTGTCAAAAACATTTTGAAAATAACTCATCAAATACCAACTCATAAACAGGCTCAGTAATATAGTGTATCAATATAAAGTTTACCAAAGGCGCAATGTCTTCTATTTGTAGCTCTTTGTCCAAAAGAACACACTTAGAGGATGGCCATGCAATAATCTGTCCAACAGCTTCCTGAATAGTAAACATCTTAGTTGCTGGTCTCCAGAGGAATGCATCTGCTTTAGTAGCAGTTTCAACCAACACTTTAAGATCTGTAGGGCCTAGACGACAGTCATTCACTAAGTCATCAGGATCAGAAGATAGAATACGCCCCTCACCAACGTTTTCATCACTACCAGACCAATCAACCAATACACACTTAGGGTGTGATCTTTTGTTTACACTCTACAAAATAGAAATTTAAGTCAGAAATAACAATAGTAAGAAGGATTCATGGATCTGATATAAATTACTTACTCTGGCAGCTGAGTTTTCACCTATTTCTGGTTCTTGTCTCTATAACATAAAAGAATAATGTCAGTTCTCATATATATATATATATATATATATAATCTTAGCTGCTTGGATCATTAATTGTGTAAGTAGTTAACCTGCTTCTTCATTTTGCTAAGTTCCTCCTCCAATTCATTCACCTTCTTCAGTAACTGAACCTGCTTCTCTTCCATGTCAGTCATAACCTTGGTCTTCACTTGAAAACAAGCTAGTTTGGTCTTACTCATGCCTCTACCCATTGCCCGCAGCCTACCAGGATTGTCGGGTCCTAAAAGTTGACAGAGGTGATCTTCTTCTGGATTTGTTGTGGTTGTTGGAGCATCACTTCCAACAAGCTCAGCTGCTTTCATCTGCAAATCAATGACACTTGTTACTAAAGGAAAACAAAATCATGTTAAAACAATCTTGGGACATACAATCTTTTCAGCTGCATTAGTATTCACTGGCGTGCCATCCTTTTTGGTACGCGACTTGACCCACACCTTCAGCCTAGTCACCTCAGATGGATCTCCACTTTCAATTTTCTGTTTACAAGCAACACAACAATAAATCTATATAAGACTAAACAAGAGAAACATCAAAGATGATAGGATCATTACCATGTCCTCAGTAAGTCGGACCATTCCTTTGCGGCTAGTAGTATGAGGTATTTGTTTACTCCTCCTCTCCTTATATTTATCACTCACAGCCTAACAAGCAAATTTATTATGCTATCACCAATGAAATACCAATCTTAAATAAGGATAAACACAATACCTTAAAGGCTGTGCTTGTTTTGACTTTGACAAATTTTCTCCAATCTGCTGGATTCACATTCATTGGTCTCAAATTCATCCTCTGTTGGTTATTAGCAGCCTCATTTATATCTTTGACAATGCGTGACTTGTATGATCTCCACAAATTTCCCATCTGCTTTAACACAGCAATCCTTTGAAACTCCTCATCAAGTTCAAACCTTGCCTGCAAAAACTAACCATCAAAACTGATACACTGTAATAGTACACTACACTGTAATGGAAATGTTACCTGAACAGATTTCCACAAAACTGTTTTGATATCTTGACCAACATGCTTCCAGTTTTCAATTGTAACAGGAACATGTTCTCTAACCAGTGTTCCAACGTATGATGACAGCTTCACTGACCCTGGACCATAAGGATCTCCCATGAGATTGTAGTCAACTTTTTCTCTGACAGTTGGATCTTTGGCAATGTTTTTCATCTTGGTTGGTCCCCTATGTTTCTTACGCTTAGGCTCCTGGTCTTCAGATAACTCAAGCTCACCTTCAGGGTCATCCTCTTGTCCATCTTTATCAGCTGGTACTATCCCTTCCGTCTGAGATACTTGAACAGGTTGCTCCACTTGCTTACTGGTCTGTGGTTCTTCTGCAGTCTGCTGTTCTTGTTCCTGAATCTCAGGCTCAACAGTACCAATATACTCTGGCTCATCATCCTTTGTTGTACCCTTCTTCTTACTTGATTGTTTCCCTCCCTTCTTCTTTGGTCTGCCCATTTAATTAAGTCTCCTGCATGACCAGTAAACAAATAAGTAAAATATGATAATCTTACCTTACACATACTATGAGATAACAGACACCACATAAACAGACACCAAAACAAGAACAAAGATTTTTAAAAACGCTACATTTGGCACATATATTCCTTCACAATCAGTTCTAGCAGTTTCTGCATCATCTATGTCAATATCCATGTCAACAGCTGCTGGCAATGGACCAATATCTGCATTTCCATCCTGAACATCTTCTTTGCTATATCTTCTTGTAGAACCTCTCATGACAACATACCAACTGGAGGAATCATCTTCCCTTGAATAAAAGACTTGTTTTGCCTGAGATGCTAGTATGTAAGGATCCCGTAAAAAACTGACTTGACTCTGATTTAAGTTAACAAGTGTGAACCCATCTTCCACTTTAACTCCATTACCTCTCACTGCCCATTGACACCGGAACAGAGGAACATAGAAGACATTATAGTCTAGCAAGATGATGTCAATGATTCTGCCGTAGTAAGATACCAAATCAACCACCTGTGATGTATCTTTAGCACTAGATCTACACATAGCTGTAGCCTCATAATAGACTCCACTATTCTGACTTTTCCTTTCAAGTGAGCTTGTGTGAAAACGTTGCCCATTCACTATATAACCAGTGTATGACCTTGCACTACACCGTGGACCATATGCCAGCCATTTAATTGTATCTTCATGTCCAGATGAAGAAATGGGTATCTAGCAAGATGCATAAATTAGTGTCAGTGACTTATATTTATATGAATCAGACTAAATATATACAAAAGACAGTGAAATAGCTTGCCTTTTCCTTTAACCATGATGCATAGTTCTTAGCATGCATAGACCATAACATTGATGCATCACGTCTACACCTTGGATTAGTGTCTTGTAGATGTTCCAAGTGCATGCTTGCAAAAGAGGATTAAAAAAACATAAGTAACCAGATTGCTATATTGACACAAGTAGTAGTTAATATAAACAGAACTTACTCAACAAAAGGATCCAATGCAGCCATATTTTGAATGACAGCAAGATGGGCTATGTTCTTTTCCATCTCAGTAAGAGTAATTGCAGTTCCTGCAGATAAAGGACGACCTTCTAGTATAGAACTGTTCTCATACTCTGTATTTCTCTCTTGTTTTTCTTCTACACTTGTTGTCTTCTTCAAGAAATCACTACAGAACTGCACACATTCTTCAGCAAGATATGACTCTGCAATACAACCCTCTGGTCTTGCTGGATTTCTTACAAAGTCTTTTAGAACTTTCATGTACCTTAAAAGTCAAAAATAAAAGATATCAGAATGCAGACAAGCACTTGATTATTGAAATGCCAAAACAACAATTCAAATAATGTATACCTCTCAAATGGATACATCCATCTAAAATGGACTGGTTCTCCAAGTCTTGCTTCTCTTCCTAAATGTACTGTCAAGTGTACCATGATATCAAAGAAGCTGGGAGGAAAAAAACCTTTTCAAACATACCAAGTGTTTCCACAACTTCATGTTCCATTACTGAGATAACCTCTCTGTCAATGACTCTTCTTGCCCAATGGTTGAAGAAAGAAATAACCGGAATTTTGCTGTCCTACGACCTTTTGGTAATAGCCCTCTAAGTGCAATAGGAAGAAGTTGTTGCATCAACACGTGGAAGTCGTGAGACTTGAGTCCTGTTATCTTAAAATCCTCTAATGACACACCCCTTGATATATTAGAACAATATCCATCTGGACCTTTAAAGTCAAATAGTCTTTTGCAGAATATTTGCTTCTCTTTCTTTGACAAAGACCAAGGTGCTGCAGGTAGATATGTTCTCTTTCCTTGGACTTTTGGATGCAAATCCTTCCTTATACCAAGATCTTGGAGATCTCTACGAGCATTAAGACCATCTTTAGATTTTCCACAATGCAACAATGTAGAAACAATGCTTGAAGCAACATTCTTCTCTACATGCATTACATCCAGATTATGCCTTACAGGGAGATCCTACAACAAATAAAAATATAGTTATATTAGATCCATACCTAATCACAGCTTAACTGATCAATTATGCAAATAATTCAACAAAGCATACCTCCCAATAAGGCAGCTTGAACAATATTGATCTTTTCTTCCACCTTGATAATTCCTCCTGGTCTACTTCTACTTCTTCATCGTCCTCAGATTCACTAGACAAATCTGAACTATCAGAAACTGTATCAATATAGGCAGTCCTTTTTCTCTTCCTCCCAGAACCTTTAACATTTCCAAAGTCATTTTTGTAGTTTTTCAGGATCCGATAGACTTCATGACCAGTTAAAATTCTTCCTTTTCTCCCATGTTCAGCCTTTCCATCAAACCATGTCTTCTTATCCCTATATCTATGTGTTGGTGCCAATCCCTTTCTATGGCACATGTACACATGCTTCCTGCTAAACTTCAACCACTTAGAATCTGTATTTTTTGCACATACAGGACAGCCCATTTTACCTTTTACTTTGCAGCCAGCAAGATTACCATAAGCTGGAAAGTCACTAATAGTCCAGAGAAGCATTGCCTTTAGATTAAATGTAGTTTTACTATAAGCATCATAAGTTACCTCTCCCTTCTTCCACAGATGATTTAAATCTTCAATAAGAGGCTCTAAGTAGACATCAATGCTATTGCCAGGTTGTTGTGGACCAGGAATAAGCAAGGTTAGCATTATGTTCTCCTTCTTCATACATAGGTGAGGAGGCAAGTTATAGTTTACTAGCAGAACTGGCCAGCAACTGTACTTAGTATTCTTCATGTTGAATGGATTGAAGCCATCTGTGGACAGACCAAGACGCATGTTCCTTTCTTCTGATGCAAATAAAGGGTACTTGTCATTCATCTTTTCCCATGTAACAGAATCTACAGGATGGCGAAGTTTGCCATCACTGCTCTTGTTACTGAAATGCCATCTTAAGTCCTTTGCCATTTCCTCTGTCCTGAACATTCTCTTCAGCCGCGGTATTATTGGAAAGTACCGTAATACTTTCTGTGGTACACCTTTCTTGACTTCACCAGTGTGCATATTAATCTTCCACCTTGAAGCATTGCATTTGGGACAATTTTCCAGCTTCTTGTACTTCTTTCTGAAAAGACAGCAGTCATTTACACACGCATGAATCTTCTCATATCCCATATCAAAGCTCTTCAAAAATTTCTTCACATCATACAAGGATGTGTGAAGCACATTATCCTTGGGCAACATTTTTGGTAGTGTCTCAAGAAGCTCATCAAAGCTCTTGTCAGACCATCCATTCTTGGTCTTAATCCTAAAGAGAGACACAATAGCCGACAGCTTGCTGTGGTTTAAACAATCAGGATATAAAGGGGTTTCTGCATCTGCTAGCTTAGCTAGAAACTCATCTTCTCTCTTGTCCTCACCCTCTGCAATCTCACTTAAGTCAGCCACTGGATTGTCACCTAGCTCACCATTACTAGCCAACTCTTGGTCATGGTATTCAGCAGCTTTGTATAACTCAAGAATTTCCTCATTCCAAAGATTTACTTCCCTCTCACATTCTCCATCAGCAACTGTGTCTCCATGATGGTACCAATCACTTCGCAGCTTGTAAGCCTCATCCATCCCTCTTGTTACAAGATGAACCACCACATCACTACTTGAGTGGCGGTATACATTACGACAGTCTTTGCAAGGACATATTATCTTATCTATATCTCCTAAAGCCGCAGCCACATCAAATACAAATCTCCGAGCACCTCTCTCATAACCAGGATCAGCTCTTCAATGAAGAAGTAAAGTAGGAAAAAAAAATCTTAAAGTTTCTAAACCCCATTTTAAAGCAAACCTATGTATATAATTTTATTCCTTACCTGCATAGATGCACCCATGCCTTGTCCAACATTATATGTTATAAGCTTAAATAAAACCTTATTAACACAAATTGAAACCATAATCAACAATAGTCACAGAGAAAAATCACATGATAAGAGAACTTATCATGATCAGACAACTTATCATGAAGACACAACTTAAACTGAACACAATGCTAAAGACATACTAAGCATTAAGCAACTTACACTATCTCAGAAACAAACAAATTAACAAAACAAGAACAGTGACAACAACCTTAACAAATTGACAACAGTCACAGCAACTTCAACAAAACCACAATAGTCACAGCAAATTTATCAAAACAAAAACATTCATACCATTTACAATCAAAGAATCACAGCCACATTCAAGGACTAACCTGTCGTATTGGTACAACAAAGGCAAAGCTTCAGTTCCCCAACATTTCAATCACCAACACTTGCCAAAAAATGCAGAATCAAAAAAGCAGAATCAGTATAAGCTTAAATAAAAAATCTACTAACAAATCGATTAGGAGAAATCTAAATCGCAAAACCAAGATCTTTGTGAAGAGAATGTGGATCAAAATGATTAACAGACATCAAAATCGCAGAAGTTTTCGCTTTACCCTAATTTCAAACTAATCGAAGAACCCTAATTTCAAAATGACATATAAAATCCGATTTTCTGTACCAATCTACTGAACTAGGTTGAAATTAGAGACAATCTTGACCAAAAAATCAATAGAAATGGAAGTTATAGAAACGAAGAAAGACATGCATGCCTCGATTTTAGCTAGCTGACGGCCGCTGCGAAGGAGAATGTGGCTACGGAGGAGTACAAATCCGACCTTAATACGCCGCAGAGGATTTGAGAGTTGAGAGAGTATTTGAGAGTTGAGGATTACTCTGAGTTTTGTCGGAAAAAATTTCTAGAGAGAAAGGGTTTTGTTTTTGGTTAAGTGTTTTGACTGAAGAGGGAGATGAATTAGATCTGAGGCGCTAAAGGGTTTTTTTTTGCTAAGTGTTGGCGGATTAAGTCATTTTAGATTCCCGCTCATTAAATTTCTATCATAGCGTTTACACACCGCTATTATAAAGAAACCCAAAAAAAATAAACTCTACCATAGCAGTAACAGAAAAAACGCTATACTCGTGTGCTATCAATGCTGGTATTTGTTGTAGTGAATGTGTGAGTCATTAAGGAAATACTTTTCATTATTACATGAATAATAAGAAAAAAAAATCTTCTAATGGTTTGCAATGGCAGATCCAAAATATAATTTTATATAGGACAAAAAAAAAATATAAACTATAATTAGATAATTAAAATTTTATAAAATCTACATCGGACATATTCCAGGCTCCAGCTACTTCTCTAAGTAGATATCCGCTCCTGATAAACAAATCGTTTAATTTTTTCGGAATAACACATTAATCTTGTACGAGTAAAAAATCCATTATGGAAGGCAGGTATGGACTATGGAGATGATTAACTAATTTTCCTTTTGGGAACCCTCATACAAATTGAATTTATTGGTCAACTACAGTATTTCCGAAAGGATTTTATCAATTTCGTTAAATTAATTCAGTATATTGTTTAATGTATTAAGAAGTGTTATTGTAGGGAAAATGAAATTGATTGTGAATGAAATTGATTGTGCCTTTTTTTTTTTTTTTTTTTGGTTCTAAAGAGAAAGATGATAAGAACGTGTCAATATAAAAATGTTCTTTAGGAAGAAATAATTACTAGAACACCTCACTGAGTCACTGTAGACTAGTTGCAAGTCTGTTTATTCTTGAAAAAAAAAAAAAAAGTCAGTTTATTCTAACTGTAGCTAGCTTCTTCATAGAGATTAGCGTACGTGATATCATATGTCAGTGACACCTACCTAGAGGTTCATACCACGTGATTTATATGTCCTAATATGCATTTAATTCGCGACCAGATTCATTTAAGCTGTAATAATAAACAGATCTCCAATAACTCTTGTTTAAAAATCGTTAGGTGTTAATCAAAAATATAGATTAAAATCGAAAATTAATTGGAGACTAGTTTTAGGATTGTTTTAATGTCTTAAACATGTTAATCCATTATAATTAAAATTTTAAATAATATTGTTTTCAAAATTACAGTAAATACAGAAAATATAGTTAAGAAATTTTTTATAATTTCATTAAAACTTTAAATATAAATTATTGTAAAACACCACCAACTCTCAATCTAAATGTTTGAATTAACAAAAAGAAAAGTTGTTTTATACTTACAATCTAATAATAATCAGGATATGAAAGATTAAGCGGAAAGTAATCGGATTAGGCATAAAGTAGTCGGATTAGAGAAAGACTAATCGGGTGACTGATTTTTTCAAAAGAATAGTTATTAATCGAAACAGATAGAGTGAGTCTAGCGACTAAACGAAGAGTAATCAGAGGTAAGCGGAAATTTTTAAAACAAGACCAATTACATATTTCCAAGTCATTTCTTTTCACTTATTAGTTGAATACAAAACAAAGAATATAATGAATTAACAACTACAAATTAAAATCAGTTTTTATGTATAGTGTAATTATTGAAGAGGTAGAATTGATATTATGATGTTAAGGATTTTGCATAGCAATTAAAGAATCATTTCTTTTTTGTTATTTCTATACTAAAGCATCAGTTATTGTTTATTTAAATACAATTCAACAAATAGTAAAACAATCTGCACAATATAAATTGTCAAAACTATAAAAATAACAATTAATTTTATATTAAAAGTTGAAAATATTATTCATTTATTTTTACAGAATTTCTCCAAGAACATCAAATAAATAAAACGGAGAAAATAGTAAAAATAAAAACCAATGTACGCAAGGGTGAAAAAAGAGGGACTCGATACATTTTGTCTAAATGTAGTTCTTTAACTTGGGATGTTCCCATGCTAATGTTTCATTCTCTACTAAATTAATAACCTTTTGTCTAAATGTGATCTCTATCTTTTCTTCTTTTTGATAATATTGTGACCTCTATCTTGTTTCGTTAAAAAAATTCATAACAAGTTTTTCATATTTTTCAGCTGGTCTAAGAAAATATAATTGCTTGAACTAGGTAGTCTCTAAAACAGGTCGTCTACATTACAAAATCCAAGATTATAGGGCAAACATTGCCGAACCTATCTTTGAGAGACCCATGTTTATAAGAAATCAAACTACTCATTTGAATTTTGATAATTAAGTATCAGATTACTTAGTCAGAAAAATATAGCGGAAACTAAATTAATATAAACTCACATTTACTTATTCTTTGGAATTAAACTAAATTATAATTTGATCTTTATTTTGTTCTTTAAAAGTGGGATTGAAGTTACGAATAATCGAGTTTATATATTGTCTTACTTCTACTAATATAAAGTGAGACATACTAAATTATTGATTTAAATAAATTTGATATATTCTAAATTTTATGTTAAAATTTTTGTGATATAAGCGAATTTTTTAGAATTAAAGTAACAAATTGGTGGAAGCTTGTAGTCTAGTAATAAAACAGTGTAGGATAGTAACTAATTAAAATCAAAATATCTATATTTTTATTTAAATTATAATAATTAAGTATCATCTTAATTAATACTACTATTTATGTTTTGATATAAAATATGTTTTGAAGCAAAAAATGCGCAGATTAAATAAAATTTCTTCAAAAATATATATTTCAATATTTAGTTAAGAAAAAATTCAATCAATCATGAAAACAAAAACAAAAAAAACGGTAGAATACACATGATCACAAATCGTAGAGTAAAATAAAACAGAAAATCTTATAAAACATCATTATAATGAAAAACACAGGGACCTTCAAGGCCACTAGTTCGATCTACGGTTATTTTTTTTTCTCTGCTCGATCTTCGGTTAGAGGGATATGTTTTATGTGACTTGGCGGTTCATGGACAATGAACCTCTTAGTTATAAGAAAAAATAAACGAAAAAACTGGATATATGTATGTATGTTAAAACTGGATATATAATATCAATTTAAATGAATTTTGATTATTATACTAAATCGTTGTTAATTTAATATTTAAATTCCATGGGTAGAGTCTTCCCCCAGGTTTTCAAATGAGCCATAAACAATGGACCCATACCCATTGTTGGTGTCGGATCCCGCACCAGAAGTACGAGACCAACCAAAGATTGCCACGTAATCAAGATAATGGCCCATAAAGGATGAAGCCCATTGGACCCGTGAGCCGAAGGGACGGTCGAAGTGGTTGTCACCATTTCGAGAATCCGAAGTGACTGCACTGAGACACGAGTTCGGTGTAGAAGACACGGGTAAGTCGGTTCAAGGACACTTGGGCCAAAAGAGGCGAGGCCCATGAAGATCAGAGTCAACTCAAATTCAAACGTTGAGCATTAAAGCCGAAGAATCAAAACGGACACATTTAAGAAGAAATAATTGTACTTAATTACTCATTTTAATGTCGTTTATCTATGTATAAATATAGAGGCCAATGGCCATGTAAAGGGGATCTTCCTCGGGAGAAAAGAAATACTATAGCAATTTTTCGTACCAATTTATAAGTTTTTACATATTCATTTTTGTCCCTCAAGAATAATCTTTCTCACCTAATAGAATACTTGAGTGTGTGAATCCGACATCCACATTTTGGCGCCGTCTGTGGGGAAATTAGGTTCTTGAGTGGTCAGATTTTTTCTTTATCACACTTCCGAGATAAGCAACAATGTCCGGAGGAGACGCCGCTGAGACATCATTGGCCGAAACCCTCAAAGCTATGCAGCAAACCATGTCGGACATATCACAAAAGTTCTCGGATGTGGAAAAGGCCGTCGATACGTTGCAAACATCCCAGGTATCTCTTAGTCAAAACGTCAATAATATACAAACTCGTGTTCGCTCTTTAAGTGCAGGAAACCCGGTGGGAATCCGAAGAGGGATATTCAACTCGCCAAGTTCCGCTGCACGAAATGAAACCAGCGGACAAACAACTCCCGGTGCTACTAATAATGTAGCTTAGACGTTGGAAGAAGAGACGCAGCTCGGGGATGAAGAACAACTTGCAGCTCAGTACGAGCAGGAGAACCTCGACCAGTTCGAGACCATGAGGAAAGTTAGCCAGGAATTAAAAGAAATGAAATCAAAATTTCATCAAGCTACAAGTTCAGAGCCAGACATCAATCGAGTCATTGAAGAAGCTAGGCGAACACCTTTCATCCCGCGAATTGCGAGTTTAAGGATCAAAGATTCCCGGAAACTCAAATTGGACCCTTACAGCGGATTGGAGGATCCAAAAAGCTATCTCGCAGCCTTTCTGATCGCTGCAGGAAGAGTCGAATTGGATGAAGCTGATGAGGACGCAGGCTATTGCAAGCTGTTTTCGGAGAATCTATGTGGCCAAGCTCTAATGTGGTTCACCCAATTAGAGCCGGGTTCGATCACCAATTTCGACGAACTATCAGCCGTGTTCTTAAAGCAATACTCTATCCTTATGGATAAAAGCGTTTCGGATGCCGATCTTTGGAACTTAACGCAAGGATCTAATGAGTCACTTCGAGTTTTCATCACCAAATTCAAAGGAGTGCTGTCAAAGCTCCCAAGAATCTCACAGCAATCAGCTTTATCTGCCCTACGAAAAGGATTGCGACATGATTCAAGGTTTAAAGAAGACTTAATACTTCATAAACCAGACACAATTCAGGATGCACTCTTCCGCGCAAACAACTGGATGGAGGTAGAAGACGAAAAAGAAAGTTTTGCCAAACGGAATAAACAAGAAAAGCCGACAATCACCGTCCCTACCAAGAAGTTCGAGCCTAGGGAGAGCAAAGGACCAAGGAAGTTTGGGTCGCAACCCTTCAACAATACCGTCGGAAAGCAATTCCAAGGGAAAGGAAGATCAAACACTTGGGTCCGTGATGAAAGTCTATATTGCGACATTCATAAAGTAACCGGACATTTAACCAAGGATTGCAGCGTTCTTAAAAAGCACCTCGCAGAGCTTTGGGCTAGTGGCGATCTTCCTAAATTCAATATAAAAGAGTTTGTGAAGGAATACCACGAAGCAAAGGAAAACTCCAAAGATCAAGATTCCAAAAGACCGAGGTTATCCAACGAGGAAGAACCAAGAAGTTCGAAGGGTAAGATCAATGTGATTCTAGGAGGCTCCAGATTTTGCGGAGA